CCGCTAGGTAAGGCAGCGGCGGGAGTGCGAAGCTCGGCGCGGCGCGTGCTGAAGTCACGTGTCCTCTCATCATCATCATCGCCCTAGCTGTGGGTACCGGTTGACGACGTTAGACCTCAAAGTGTAACGTTAGGCCTAACGTTAGGCCTAACGTCAGGCCTAACATCAGGCCAACGCATACCCGCGTCCCCCCCTCACGTCAAACAGCTGCGCGTACCGGTTGACAACGTTAGACCTCAAAGCGTAACGAACGATAGGCCTGACGTTAGGCCTAACGTCAGGCCAGCATACACCCGCGTCCCCCCTCCCGTTGCGCCGCCAGCAGTTCGGCTGGCTCATTAGCAACGATGACGCCGTTGCTATGGAGCCACATGACGCGTCGCAGCCAATGGGAATTTAGGTGCCGTTTCGCTCAGCCAATGTGAATTTAGGTGTCTTTCGCTGCTGCAGACAACGCCGGCTTCGCTCTATGGGATAGGTAGTGCTTTCGCATTAAAATTGTTATCTTCCAATTAAGTGTTTCATCACATTGCTATACAAGATACGTTCCAACGCCTTACCTTACATGATGTACAACTCAGTGAAATAAGCCAATAGTTTTCTACATTTGATTTTGATCCACTTTTGTCAACTGGTACGACATACACTTTTTAGATTCTTTAGGCAATTGCCCAGTTTCAAGAGTTGCAAAAAATTATATGCAAATACTCGGACACTCTACACGAGCAAGCTTTTAATGCCTTGGGAGGTATCTCCTCCGGACCAGATGCCTTTCCCACCCCTTGGGAGGTTAATACTTTTACACCCCCCCCCCCCCCTCTCAGCGTCTGGCTTCGCGCTGTAACAGTGCCTGAAAAAAACTAAAATCAATAAACAAAAATATACAAGTGGCGGCCTCAGCGTTCTATGGAAATCAATGCTAACAGTGCGTTCCTTTCAGCTCCTTTGTTTCTATTTGTTATAGCGTCCATAATCAACTTGGAGAAGCATATTGACATGCAAACAAAACGCAACCTAAAATAGTATAATGTGCTCGCAAGAGGCGCTGCCAAAAACTTGAAAGATACTATCCTCTAGGATCCGCTGGATCTTTTTTTTTTTCTTTTAGGGGGGTGGGAAGGGGAGTTAAGCGCCGTAAGCCTTTCCCGTGGCTACAGCACTGTCCAGGGTGGTCTCGGCATGGTCGTCGGTCATCTCGGAGACACCCGATCCACTCTTCGCCCAATCAAGGAGCTTCAGCCCAAGAGACAACCCGGCGACTACAGACCCCGCCTTCACTCTGTACCTCGGCTCAATGTACGCTCCGGATCTATTGACCCTCTCTTGCGTGGTCCCAAAGGCACGACAACTGCGGTGGCAATTAGCTCGCCGAACGACGTTTCATCAAAAGATAGTTTACTCGACATGTGACGTCTGGAACCGCGCCATGGCGGAAGCATACCGCCAAGTTTTCTCAGACGATTTAATGGAGCAGTCAACGCCCGTTGATGAAACCGCGGCACGGCGCAAGTATACCGCGAAGGCATCATTTTAGAATATGAAAACAATCACGAAACACGCATATACATTTAAAATTCATGACTTGCAAGCATCTCGGGCCTCTAAATTAGTTTTTACAGATGAACAGCAGTTTTTGTTAATTCACATATACTGTATAAGCGGATTAAATTGAATGGCTCTTCGATTAAAATGGATGGAGTTGAGATAAAATGGGTGATAACCTGGATTACATTTATTACAGCTTACATTTAATTCATGACAACTTGGATTAAATTTAAAGTAGAGGTGAGTTAAATTCAAAGATGCTCGAATAAAAAAAAAAGGCTCGAGGTACACCTAAGCACTTCTTATGAGTTGTGAATGCGAAAGCATGCAAGCCGCTCGTCCGCTTCCTTGTTTCGTCTACTGCGTACTTTTCGTTGCCGATCAGCGCGCGCGCTCTACTGGGCGCGCTGACCTTGGACGCGCTGACGGACACCCAGCGCCATAAGGTGAACGATCGTTGCTAGGGATGCCGCGAACTTTTTTCGAATCGAAAGTTCGATGATCGAATCAAGCGGTTCGAAAGGTTCGAAAGATTTCGATTTTTCGAACTTTCCATATCAAGAAATTCGACGGAACTAGAATTTTCGAACTTGCTAAAGTAAGAAGTTCGACGCTTTTCAGACTTTCGAACTTATTACGCTGCATAATTCGATGCTTGTCGAACTTTCGAACTTGATAGACTAGAAAATTCGATGACTATCGAACTTTCGAATTTCTTGCACTAAAAAGTTCGAAGCTTTTCGAACTTTCGAACTTCCTAGGCTAAGAAATTCGATAATCTTCAAACTTTCGATTTATTAACCTAAAGAATTCGAAAATTCTCGAACTTCCAATTCCTGAAAAGTCAAAAGTTCGACGAACTTCGAACTTTTAGGGTAAACGTTCGAAGTCCGTCGAACTTCGAAAGACGGGCGGGCGGTTTCATTTGGATTCAAGCTGTGAGGTACATTCGTAATTTTTTTTCTCGCATTTTTACATGTGGCGCCGCATTACTTGCGAAAGACAATGCCGTTTATTTCAATCGTCTGGTGTGCTTGGTTTTAAAGAAATGGATTCCCGAAGGAGCGAGGAAGGACGACGGGTTCTTGACAACTGTCGTTTGTGCCATATTGGAAGCGCGCTATAGTCGAAGATATTTATGGTAGAGATGTTAAACATTTTAAGAATGATCTATGTATAGCCTAGGTAAATGTAGTCTTAAGATATGATTAGTATTCTTCAAGACGAGTTTCGAAGAGATATCCAAACATGTATCTATGGGCAATTATGCCCTAAACTTGGTAATTGTTTTCGTCGAAATTGTTTGAGGTATCGCATTTAAATTAACACCACAGACAGTACATATCATCAACATCTGCAGAATACAAATTAATGTATATATTGTTATATTCATGTTCAGGAATAAATTAACTCAGGGAAAAAGATTTCTAATATTGGTCAAACTCCGGCACGTCGTAAAATATATATATATATATATATATATATATATATATATATATATATATATATATATATATACATATATATTATTTTTTTATTTTTTCATTTCACGTTTTTGGTACATGTTTCTTTTGGCCTGTACACGTTTTGGTAGAAGAAACTTGTTTCGTAGTTCTGGGCCTGTGAATATGCGAGAGTACAACACTTCCGGTGGATTCTTGAGTTTTTTTTTCTCCAGCTTTTTATTTTTTGCATTTATTGTTATGTTTACTTTTTTACTATTTTTTACCAATGGCACACTTATTTAGGTCGAAAAGTCATAGCTTTGAACTTCCGAACCACCGAGCATGTGACGAGCAGCGCCTTCTGACAACGCGTTTCTAACAATGACCATCTACGCGACCTTTTATGCAGTGAAGATCGACAGTAGCTATACATACGCATAATTTCACATTAAAATAAGCTCGACCATGCCCTCTTTCCCCGTATTGTTTTCTTAAACAGTCCGAAATATCTGGGGGGGGGGGGGGGGAGAGAGAGAGAGAGAGAGAGAGGCTGGAGCCCTTCCCCCCCCCCCCCCCCCCCCTTCTCCCCGTTTTTCCTCTTCCGACGCCATTGGTATGGTAGGACGCTCCTCGACCTCAAGTTGTGTCAGCTTCTGTGCTTTTTGCTCGGCGTTTCTTCCGTCTCGGAAAATAAACCTCCAAAGCAATTACAAACTAAAGAATTGTCAAGGTGCAGGCGTGCTGGTGTATGTTGATCATGATGCAAAATACCGAGACTGGGAATGAAATTCGAAATAAATAGTGTAAGAAGAAAGAGAAAAGGGGACAGGACAACGTCTCAAACTCAGCTGAGTTGAGTTTGAGACGCTGTCCTGAGCCGAGTTTTCAGCTGAGTTGAGTTTGAGACGTTGTCGTGAGCTGAGTTTGAGACTTTGTCCTGTCCCCTTTTTTCTGTCTTCTTACACTTTTTCTTTCACATTTCATTCCCAGTATCGGGATTTTGCATCATGTACAAACTAAACTTACTACATGCCAGCGTCACTTGGGCGGCGCTCGAGCGGATTACTGCCAGCGTGCAGGGGGGCAGGGAGGCAGCTTGCCAGATCGTTTCAAGGTTTTTCTGAGCCTCAACCACCTGCCTGTCCCTGGCCGTTTCGAACTGGATGAGTATCGTTGAACAGTGCGTTCGTGTGATCACTACTGCGTGATGCACGTTAACTTCCCCCCCCCTCCCCCCCCCCCCCCCCCCCCCCGGGCTGGCGGGGGTGGTTATCATTTGAGCCCGTTCTCGTTTCGCCCTTCTCACTTGGCCCTTCTCAAAACAACCATTCTCAAAAGGACCTTCTCGCTTTGACCTGTCGCATTTGGCCCTTTCCCGTTTCGTCCTTCGTATTTCAACCCCTCTCATTTGAGCCCGTTCTCGTTTCGCCCTTCTCACTTGGCCCTTCTCAAAACAACCATTCTCAAAAAGACCTTCTCGCTTTGACCTGTCGCATTTGGCCCTTTCCCATTTCGTCCTTCGTATTTCAACCTCCCTCATTTGAGCCCGTTCTCTTTTCGCCCTTCTCCCTGGGCCCCTTTCAAAACAACCATTCTAAAAAAATATCTTGCTTTGACACGGCACATTTGACTCTTTCTACTCCAAATTTGTTTTGTTTTTTGGGGTAATATATATTCATAAATTCACTAATATTTCCTGTTGTGTGTGTGCCACGCTATTGGCTTAATCTCTCTGCCAATGATTTTAGCCGTGGGTCGTGGTCGTGGACAAAAGCTACTGCCTGACTAAACAACAGACCAACTACTTATCGCAGACAGATCACAGTCCGAAATGTCACTTTCTTTGAGGTCGCACTTTGCTTGGAAACAGAGTTTCCAAGCAAAGTGTCCATTGTTTTCTTTCTTTTCTTTGTGTTCGTTTAGAGAAAGAGAAGCAGGCGACATTGTACAAACGTATTACGTTATCTATAGTGTTTGTATTTTTGGGGGGTGAGAAGTGTGTGTGTGTGTGAGGGGGGGGGGGGGAGTGGGGAACGCCGGATGGGAGAACAACATAGGTCGAGAGAAAGTGGGGACTGTGAATCCAGTTCTTTTGTTGTCCGGGGTGGGCCGTGGGTGGTGGGAGCTGAGTCATAAAACGCTGAACCGTCAACTTGCACCCGGAATTCCATGATCGAATCGTCGCTTCACTCGACAGCGAGACGTCAGTCAGGGAAGATGGACAAGTTTGTTCTAAGCGAAACGCAAAAAAAGAAATTGTGTCTTCACCTTGAAGGCTACAAGTATTACAAACGACGACAGAATGCAAACGGAACGATCGCGTGGCGTTGTTGCCGTTACACTTCATCAGGATGTGTGGCTTCGATATTGACCGAAGAAGACAACGTGAAAAGCAGATCACGTAAGTTGCTATATTCGATTTGCCTTTGACGGTCTGTTTCAGCATGATAGAAATCGCTATTTGTTTTCGTTCCTTACTTACTCTTATCAGCACCACTTAGTACAAGCCTAAAGGCAGTTAAAGTGTCATTGACCATTCACGTTCCTATTTACTTATAGACGATCATAACCATGCACCAGACGAGGCGACGCTTGTGAAGGACCAGCTGCGCGTGGCACTGAAAAAGGCAGCAGCAGCCAACCCCAATACGCCCGTGCCAAGGTTGTTTCAAGAGGAACTTCTCCGAACTTGTTCTGCAGTAGGTTTTACATTATTACATCTATCGCGTATAAAGAAGTATTATTCAAAGTTAGCTGAACCAAATCACTAAATTTATTCTAGGTGCCAGATGAAGTCGCAGCAGAAGTACCCACGTTTGCCACCCTCAAGGATACGATGTATCGGGAAAGGCGTTCAGCGCAGCCACCGCTTCCATCATCAGCCTCCACTCTGCAACTCAACGACGCCCACAAAAAGACAGAAAGCGCAGAGCCGTTCCTGGTCGTCGACGACCGCAGTGATCCCTCGTCTTGCATACTTGCCTTCGCTACACGAGATGGAATGCAGCGGCTGTCGTCAGCCAAAATTATTTTTGCGGATGGGACGTTTTTTGTTGTACCGCACATCTATGACCAACTTGTAACCCTGCATGTTGTAACCGACGGCGTGCATAGCGCAGCGGTTTACTTCCTGTTGTCGGGTCGGTCACGACAAACCTATGTCCGTGCTTTTCAAGGGCTCAAAGCTGCATTCATATCGGCTGGGATTTCATTCTCGACCCCTGATATTTTCATGACGGATTTTGAGCAGGCGCTTATTGGTGGTCTGCGCGACGTGTTTCCTCAAGCTGCTCATCGCGGGTGCCATTTTCACTTTGCGCAAAGAGTATGGGCTTCCGTTCAGAGGGCTGGGCTCCAAAGTGCATATTCCAGTGATAACCAAGTAAGGGCTCTGATTCGTAAGCTCGTGGCACTTTCCTTTGTTCCGCCTTGTGATATCCCTCGCGCCTGGGCGTTTCTGCATCAGGAGGGTCTATTGCTCGGTATACCGGAGCTACCTGCTGTACTCGATTACTTCGACGCGACGTGGATAAGTGGCATTTTCCAACTCGAACAGTGGAACCACCATGGAAACAGGGGACCCAGAACCAACAACCACATGGAGGCATGGCATCGAAAAATCAAAGGCATGTCAGGAAAAGCGCACCCGAATCCCTTCGCGTTCATTGATTTAATCAAGAGAGACGAGGCCCAAACAAGAGTCCTCTTGCTTCAAGTTGCAAACGGGGGAGCCGTACGTGCGCAAGGCCGCAAGTGGGCCAATAAAGACAGAAAACTGGCGGAGCTTGAAGGCCGTTTCAACAGCGGCGCCATTTCGCTTTTTCAATTTCTAAACTTGGCTCAAGCTTTTTCTGGGCTGTAAGCATTGTTCAGAGCTTTAGCCGGAAAAATAAACGCGCGAAAATGTTGCCGTTGACTCGTTGTACGAATGTGAAAATGTGTGAAAAATAAAACCAAGTTGTTCGTCCGTAAAAGATGGTATCCCTTTCTTCGAATGCAGAAAAATGAATTCGACAAAGCTTCATATTGCCCGTTCGCGCACGGGCAATATGAGAATGGGCCCAGTTGCGAAAAACCGATTCGGATCTTATGACAATATTCCACCGAGGCGGACGAAGTGAGAATAGGACTAAATACGTAAGGTTCAAATGCGAATGGTGCGTTTTCAGATGGCGGGCAAAAAGAGAAGGGGCCCAGTTGCGAAAATACTGATTCGGACCATATGAGAAGGTTCAAACGAGGCGGACCAGGTGAGAATAGGACGAAATCCGCAAGGTTCAAATGCGAATGGGACGTTTTCAGATAACGGGCAAAATGAGAATGGGCCTATTTGAGAAAAACCTGATTCGGATCTTATGAGAAGGTTCAAACGAGAAGGACCAAATGAGAATGGGACGAAATGCGCATGGTTCAAATGCGAATGGGACGTTTTGAGATACACCCGGCTGGCGGTCACAATTACTGATCTGCACACGTCACTCTACACTGGCAAATAATCCAGCACGTCCGGAACACTCGTCGTCCCATTTAATTGCCTGACCAACTTCGCGCAGTCTAAATATCACACCCGAACATTTCTAAACCTGATTTCGTGAAAACCAGTGAGGCGTGAAAACATTAAGCGCCGTTCACACTCTGGGGACCGGGTAAGACCGAGAGAGACCAGACCGGTTTTTAAGCCTTTGGCGACTTCTTAGGATTGGATGCGATGCAGCGGAGCTGGTCCTAAGAGATCGCAAGAGGCTTAAAAACCGGTCTGGTCTCTCTCGGTCTTACCAGGTCGCAAGAGTGTGAACGGGCCTTTATTTGAAGCTGAAACTGTGGCGGAACATGAAAACCGGTCATCGAACTTTGCTCACTGGGACTTGAAAGAAATTCGAAGCCCTTTTTTCGTTTTTTTTTTCGAATTTCACGCTAAAAGAGATTGAAACCTTCGAACTTTTCGAACTTTATGTAGAAAGAAATTTGAAATCTACGAATTTATCGAACTTTATGTCTCTAAGAATTCGAAACGTTCCAATTTTTCGAATTTCAGATTCAAAGAAATTCGAAACATTCGATTCTCTCGAATTTAAAGTTAGGGAAAGTTCGAAATCTTCGAATTTCTCGAACCTCAAGTAAAAAAATATTCGAAATAATCGAACCCGAACTTTCAGAAACCGTGAAAGCTTCGAACTTTTCGAATTCGAAACGCCAGGATTTTTAAAAGTTGCGAATTTTTCGAAATCGAATCTTCGTACGGTCGAAAATATCGAAACTTTTCGAAATCGAACATCAGTTCGGGTCGAAAATATCGAAACCTTTCGATATCGAACCTCGGGCGGTTCGCGGCATCCCTAATCGTTGCCACTGACGTGCAGTGGCCAATGGGAGCCTCGTCGACGCGCGCCAGCCAATGGGACCGAAGCCGAAAATCAACCAGCTTTACTCCGCTCCTTTGGGATCGGGGAATTTAGGTGCCGTTGGCTAGCTTTTCGCGTGGTTTCATAGCTGGGAGCTGGCTTCACTTGGAGAAAAGATTTAAGGTGCCGTTCGGCGGCGGCTCGCTTCATGAGACAGTTAATGCTTTCGAATTAAAAAAAAGAAAAGCTGTCACTTGGATTATTGTGAGCGGAAAACCTAGAAACAAAATGCCGTATCACTGTCAATATCAAGAGCTCGTGCCTGGAGACGCACTTTCACGCGCTCTAGAACAAAACAGAAAGAAACCAAAACGTCGCGAGTGAAATGGTGCTTGTCCAACATTCTTCTTGCTGTGTCTAGTGCTTTGAAGCATGGCCACGGTGGAAGAAACATTTAGGTGATGACTCACTGTCCGACGCGGCGACATCATCATTATGTTCGGCGCACCGAGCGCTTCACTCGCACGGGGATAGATGGCGCCAAAGTATCGGGTCCCTCCCAAACCGACCGCTCCGGTTGTCTCTGCCAGCGGTGGTCCCGCATTCCCTCGCTTGAGTTTGGGTCAATCAAACTCTGCCATGTAATGAAAGCTAATGAGTGGTTTCGGAGGAGTGGAGAAGCGGAGAAAGGCATTGTCTTCTAATGCAATATAAGCTTGTGCTACAAATGTTTTTTTTTTTTTTTTACTGCTTCAAACGGAACGTTTGGTTTCTATAAAGGGTGCTTCAAAACGGTTCAAGCCAATCACATAGCGGAAAGCTTCACCACAAAATATTGATCAAATCAACAAAAAAGGGAGGATTTTAAGCCAGAAAATTATATCTAAAGTAAGATGACGCTGATTTGTGAGCTTGATTCCAGCTTCCACCAAAAACATAACCGTGGTAAAAGCTAGAACTAGTGCAACTTTTGGTATGCACTCGCACTGTCTAACTTAGGGAGGCGTTTGATTTTTGAGGTATGTTTGTCAGAGGGCATATGCTATGTCGGTACTCGCTGAGCCTGGCCTACTTCAGGAGATGTACAACTTGGCGTTGTTCTCAACATCGGGGGATTCAATATATAGATAGGAAGGCAGAGGATGTAACAGAGTAATCCAGATGAACATTGTATAAAAATTCAAAAGCGCAAACACCAAGGAAAAGAAGAGGGGACAGGACAGAGCGCTAGCCCAACTAGCCCAACAGTTAATTTTGATTCAATATCTTTCTTCTACACTGGGCCCTTTTCCGTGTGTATTTTCTGCAGATTGTGTTTCTTTTTACGTCAATTCCATCGCCTTCTCTACTTGCCAAGCAAGATTGTACTCTTTTGCCATCAGACACAGTGTGATTCCACAAGACGTTTGTGCGTTGTTTGGCAATGCAAGACCATCACTGCAACACGCCAAAGCGCTCTGTCCTGTCCCCTCTTCTTTTCCTTGGTGTTTGCGCTTTTGAATTTTTATACAATGTGTAGCCAACTAGCCCAACAGTTAATTTTGATTCAGATGAACATATTTGAGTAGTTGAAGATGTACTTAATACATGAATAATTAAATAAAAAAGTTTATAAGTTTGTTAAGGTAGAAGAACTATATAACTAAAGAAGCATAAGTTAAAAGAGGTTATAAGTTTTCCTACAACTAAACCTATCTCGCATTTTAACATAACATTTCTTGCAGACGACTCGTTGACATGAACCCGGAGGAGGGGTCCCGGTGTACTTTACGGAAGGTGGCTCTAGTGCACCCGAAGGTCCAACAGCCCTTCAAGATCTTTTGAAGTTCAAGAAGAAATGACAGGAGAGTTCAGCACTATAGCTTATTGCAACATAACAAACGCAGGACAGGCTCTTCCCACAAAGCCCTCCACCCTTTCCACTTGAGCAGAGCGAACGCTGGAGCGGAGGCAAGTGCAAAGGAGGATACCACCAATCATGGTGACCAGAGCTTTGCGGGAGCGCCTTGGACCGCGTTTCTAAACCTGCCACAGATTATAGGTGACATTTTTTTTTTCATTTACCGAGTCTTTATTGAGTCTTTATCAACACTACTTATCCCTATATGGAGATTTTAGTATTGAGCCAAGAGCCTTTGTTCGTTCATTCATTATGGCAGATTTTTTCACAATTTATCACTCAAGGCAAGTACTCATTTAATAACAAATCATTCTATCTAGTCAGCTGGTACTATTCATTTTTGAAATAAATGTTAAGCATTTGAGGCAATAAACACTTGGCTTTCCTTTACATAGTGTTCGCTGCAATGGTTCAATAACATCAAAACGCAATGCCTATTTCACCTTTCTTCGAATTTTTATGAATCGAGAAGTACATTTCCCCTAGGTGTGTGCTCATGATTGCAGGCAGCCGCCGTAGTTCCTTGCATAAAAGATGCGGTATCCACACCATTAGGAACTTCGGCTTCAGCAGCTATTGGCCTCGAGATCAACCTAGAGGTGGCGCTACGGTCGCGCTATCATCATCATCAAAGCGGGGATAGGAGAACGGCCGCCCCATAGACTCTCCACGTTCGCGCGCGAGACGGCGTAGATTCTTGCGTTTAGTTTGTCGCATACTATCGGCGGGAAAACAATTCTAGAGAAAAAGGATGCGGTACTGTTCGGTGCTTCAGTGAAGATCAAATTCTGTTGCCAGCGTGCGGCCTAAATTTTTAAAATCGCTTGTGTGGGGGCGTCGTCTGCTCTATGCAGACGTTGGAAAGCATGGATCACCACGACTGATGTCTCTCTCCGGCTCAACTGGAATATTTATGTGAAATATTTGTTTCTTTTAAAATGGATGTATCGGTTCATCAACGTGGTAATTAAAAAAAAACAGTAAGTTCCAACCCAGATAATATAATATTGGTACTGTGGGCTGTGAAATCGCAGCTTCTATGCTTTTTTTTTAACTTCTAGCTTTTGCAGTAATATAAATATTTAGAATGAAGATAAGTTAGCGCTGTATTGGAAATTACCATGCTATTGAGTTCCTCTGCCCTTTCACTTTGCCATAGTGTCGGTAAGTTCTTTGGAGTCTGAACAAATGTACCCCGTTGCGATGAGGAGAGTATATGGATTCTTCTAGTTAAGATCTTCTAGTTAAGATCGGCAAACTGCACGGTTGGCAGGACAACTGAATCAAACTGTTCTAATATATCTGCCGTGACTGTAATAAACGGGTGTAACCCAGCAACGCAGCAATGTTCCTGTTATGAAATGCTTTTCTCGGTAGTCTGGGTTCACTCGCTTCAGTTTTCTTGGTGAGGGCCACGGATGTCAAGAGGCTAATACTATAAATTTCTGGCTAAATAATCTTGTATTCAACCACAGTAGACTCTGCAACCTCGAAAAACGACGCGCACCACGACACAGACAGCATCGGCCGCAGGGATACTCTTTTACTGATGAGGGCCCTTCACGAGACTTTCCGATCACCCTCCGCCCTCACCTAACGTATATCGGGACTGGGCAGTTCATCGATTAACTTTCAGAATATTCAAGTAATGCTTTATTGCAATTTTCTTTTTGCCGCTTGTGCTGGAGAAAGTCAACAAGGAGTAAAATATGGTTGAAAAAACCCCGAGACT